AAAAAAAAAAAAAAAAAAGTTGGGAGTGTAGCTCAGTACAAAGGCCCTTGGTTCAACCCACAGTACTACCAATTAAATAAATAAATAGGAAGGCTAAAAAGCCAACTCCTTCCAGATGTGACAGAGCTGACTGTCACTGGGCCAACGTGGTGAAAGGCTTCCAAAAGACAGCAGCCCAAGTGCTGCCCAACGTCCTCTGCCAGGGGAGAAAGCACCTGGCAGGGCAGAGCTGGTCCCCCCAACCCACAGACCTTGCAAACCCTGCCCAGGAGAATGACGCCCAGGAGCGTCAGGGTAGTGTGAGAGGATGGAGAGGGTGCAAGGCGGACTAGGAGGCAGAGCCACCACGCAGGCCCTGCTGAGCACAACCAGAGGCTTCGAGGACGGGGCAGCCAGCAGCCAGCCCTGGGGCAGCAGGGGTGCTGACTGCAAGCAGGAAGCAGAGTGCCTAGCAGGAGCAAATCACAGGAGCTACACAGGCCTGCAAATCCCCTCCCCATACAGCTTTGCGCCTGGAGCCGGGCCCAACTGCACACATGAATGGGTCTCACTGGCCAGAGTGGGGAGCCAGGTGGCACCTTGCACAAGGGCTCCCAGCCTCCTCAGGGCGATATCCCCATCACCGCAGCCACACAGACCGTAAGGTACTGCAGTGATGCATTGGGTTTCGCTCTAGGGTACAAGGTCAGGCTACAGCTTGCCATCCCTGACACCCTTTCCACCACAGCCCTCCCACAATGCCAACACAGCAGCTGCCCTGGCACCCACGGCAGAGACAGGCAAACACACAACAAGCCGCCTCTCCCAATCTGGCCTCAGACAGTGGCCCCTACGCCAATAAAAGCCACGTGGTAACAGGGGACACAGACGCTGGTGTACAGCCACTTTAGCAACCTCAGCTTTACTCTGTGACAACTGAGAAGAGGGACAGCCCACAGCACAACGCACTGAGGCCACAAAACAAGTCCTCAGAGTACAGAGGTGACCCTGCCCAGGAAGTGGCCAACACCTCATGGGAGACAGTGGACCCACCCAGCCTGCACACGGCCCTGCGTCAGCAAGGACTTTCAGGCTACATGTGCAGACGGGGTCCGAGCCTGTGCTCTAGTCTGAGGGCAGGGGAGGGCAGACAAGAGCCCATGTCACCTTGCAGCTCTGTGCACCTGGGATGCTCCTCCCCAAATGAGGGTGCTTCCCAGACTCCAGCGCCAGAGTCGTCCCAGCCACAGACCCTGGAGCCACCTGTGCCAGGGTCATCCAGCAGCAGCAGGAGCAGCATGACCCAGGCTGGGGATGACATATTCACTGTTCAGCCTGAGACTCGAGACATACACAGCCTCCCTTGTGGCTCTGCTGTGGATGACACTCCATGGCAGGCTAACCTGGCCTCAGCACCAGCCCTGCCTCTCAGGACACAACAGAAACAGCCCCAGCATAGGCCACCACACCTGTGGGGCAGGGATGGGCTCTGGGGACAGGGACTTCGGCCACAGGGAGCCCCAGGGGACAGTGCCCTCCGAGACTCCTCTGCAGGTCCCAGAGATAGCCTCGCTCCACCCAGGCTCAGGGAGCCCCTACCAACCTGACATTGCTTAATTGGGGTTGGGTTTCCACGACCATGAATTCGACTGTCCAAAGCTTTCTGTCTTCAGAGTCCCCAGGCAGAACTGCGTCCTGTCACGGAGCCTCATCCCACGTCTTATTGTCTCCAGCCACAGCTCGAAGGCTGCTGCTCCATGACAACCGCCAGAGCCTGCGCCGCTCAAAGTCTTACTAAAAATCAAACACAAGAAACACATTAACACGCGCTCAGGCCAGCGGGCTCCTCCGGCAGATGCTGCTGCACAAACTCAGCCAGACTCCCTCCAGGGACCCTGGAGTACAGTGCCCACCGCAGACCAGTGAGAAGCTCCCCAGCAAGTCCAGGTCCAAGATTGGCCCCCACCCCAGCATCCCACTGCAGACCTGGGAACACCTCCTGGGCCATCGGGGAACCACCAGCATCCCAGGACCAGTGTGAGGCAGCAGGGTGGGGCCTGCACAGAGGCCTGGTGTTGGTTCCGGAAGCTTCTCTCCTATGGTGACTGTCCTGGCTTCTGTGAAGCTCAGACATTAGTCTTGCAACAAGGCCACTCAGGCGCCAACTCTCCTGCATCCTGCCCAGCACCCTGAGCAGTCCCCCACCGCTCCTACAGGAGGCATCCAACTCCAGCCCTAGTCACTCGGTCCCCACACACTGTTCAGCTGTGGCCAGGGCATGGGTATGACACCCGAACACACAAGTAGCACAGGCAGCTCCAGCCTCGGGGTGCGTCCCTGCTTGTGACACCAGGACACTACACAGGGTCCAACTCTGATGTACAGTTGGGCCACACAACAACTGCCGGGGACCTAGTCTGGCCAGCCCTGCAGCCACACAGGTGACAGAGATACGACAGACTGGCTACCAGCAGCACCTCTTGTAGCTCTGCAAAAAGGGCCACACAGCCACAAGCCTAAGACACCAGTAACATGTGGAGCCTGTGTGCTCTGGGGCCCCCAGCAGCCAATCTTGCCCCATTCCTCTACACAACCACACTGGGCTGCCGCTGGCTTCCAGAACATGCCCAGCTTTGGAGATGGTGTGCCTGTCTCAACACAACGCGAGAACCTCTGGGGAGCGAGGGGTGGGCTCCCTACAGAGGGCACAGAAGCAGCCCCAACAGGAAAGTCTAGAAGCCAGGCCGTGGGGGAGCAGACAGCACCCCTAGGAGACAGCGCCACAGGCCATGCCCAGCAGGAACTTTCATCAGTACTAATCGATACCCTCCAATAAGGGTACCAGTGTACACCTACATGGGTCAGCACTGGCTGCTCTGAATGGGCAAGGCTAGGAATGCTACCTGCTATGCCCAAGCCTGCCTGCAGAGCTGTGCACACCCGCTTACATGTCCTCTCCTCTCCCAATGACCTGCATGGCAGGGCTATAAGACAGCTGCAGACAGTGCCCTTGCTCCTAACAGGCAATATCTAGCAACAGCCCAGGGGTAGGAGGCCAGCAGCCTTCACCTGGGGGCCCAGCACTGACCCACACTGAGCCACACACCCCAGCGAGTCTCCAGTCCTAAAACCCAGTGAAGTGGGAGGTCAAGAGCTGTCTCCACCTGTCCCGTGCTGGGACAAAGGCATAGAGCTCCCAGGGAGGAGCTAAGTCCTCAGGACACATCGTGGTCCTCCATCTCACAGGGGGACAGTGCCCACCCATGGCAGAGACTCGGAAGAAACAAAGAGATCCCGTGAGCCCCACAGCCCAAAGCTCAGGTAAGCATCTACGTGTTCCCTGGTCATCTGCAGCTGGCCCTCACTCATGCCACACAGCAGGCTGGGAGCACAGGAAGCAGTTTCAGAGCACTACTAGGCCTGTGGAAGTGAGGAGGATCAGGGGAAAAGGCCTGTACACACCCGTGAGGGCCCTAGAAAAGGCAGGGCCCTCCCAAGGTTAACAGCGTCCCTGCACTCCCACACTGGCTAGAAAGGCCCATCCTTAACTTAGGCAAGGCTGCCCCCTTTCCATGGCTGGGAGGAAAGCGGCTGTGCCCTGCGAATTCTTGCAGCCCTTGAGAACCAGCCCCATGGAGGCCCCGGACCATGCCCTGAGTTCTCCTTGTCCACCACTGACGCCCACGGGATTTCTCAGGAAGCTGTGGTGGTGACGGGCACTGTTACAGGGGGCCGAGGAGGGGAGACGGGGTGCCACTTGGAATTTACGGGACATCCTGGGTCGGTATCACAACCTGATGATCTCTGCCAGATCCAGGCCCCCGGCAAGAGGTGGTATAGATATGCTCTGTGGACTCTGGGACTGAGTGTGCACCCCTTGCCAGGCCACTGCCACCTCAGTGGGGCATCCACCAGGGCTGTGGGACTCAGGGCTGGTGCAAGCTCCATCTCAGCAGTGGTGGCTGGCATGGGGCTTCGATGGCTAGGTGGCCCTGGACTGCAACAAATCCAGAGACAAATCACTCATGCAGAGACCTCCAATGCAGGTCCTCAAAGGGCAAGGACATTGACTACCAATCTGTAGGGCAAGCCACCGGGAGGTCCCCAGTGACTTCAGAACTCAAACCCAGGGCATAACCACGTGAACACAGATGACTGACCAGGGACAAATCGGCCACTCACACCCCAACAGCCAGGAAGGCCCCCAGCTTGCGATAGTAACCCCATTCCAGGTGAGCTGGCTGGCTTAGAGAGAGGCAGCCTTGGTGGACAGAGGCTAATGGAAATGGCTCTGCTCACAGAGGCAGACAGGGTGGGCAGGTGAGGTATAAGTGACACCTGTGATGAAATCTATGGACAGGATGCCATGGAGACGGCCACCCAGACCCAGGTAAGATGCCAGTGCACAGCAGCTGGTGGCTAAGGCAGGGCTCTGGAACAGCTGGAGGCACCCAGTAAGCACAAGCAAGGGTTGTATGCATGGGGGGCTGCACACAATGCACAGGATAAGGAGCATGCCCAGGGGTGCTGGGCATGGCCCCTCTGGCCTCATGGCTGGTCCTGTCACGACCCCTCTACACCAGGCCTGAGTTCCAGGGACAGCTGGGGAGGCTCCTGTGCTGTCAGCATTGGACCTTCTCCCTGAGGGTCACACGGCCATTAAGCTGGGGGAAGAGGCCTTGCTGGGAATAACACCGAGTATGTGGACTCCCTTGCACTGCCCCAAGGCAAGGCCACCAAGCTGTCAAACCTCCTGTAGGGCAGTGGGAGGTCGAACCATCCAAGCACCTGGAGGCAAAGAAAGGCCACAGAGGACAATGTGGCACAGGGTGTCAGGGACACTGGGGAGACCAGGACACACACAGGCCACGGGCTGTGACACCCGTCACACACAGGTAGGAGAGCAACTAGGGAAAATAGGTGTGGCTATACAAATAGTCTCAGGATCATCTGCATAACTTTTCTGTAAACGTAGAACTGTTCTAAAATTAAAATTCTATTTTAAAGAAAATCTGCTAGGCAAGGAGCTGCCTCCAGGATTTTGCAAGCAACAGGTCCAGGGGACCACAGGATGACACAGACCCTGCTCACTGAGGCCCTCAGGGACCAAGTGCCCCATGGTGAGCCGCCTCCATGGCCAGGGCACAGCCACAGGTCGGGAAGTGCACAGCCAGGCCTTAGGCTCTGGGCCAGTACAAAAGCCCCCTCCTCACAGCCCCGGGAGATCCCAGACTCAGCTGCCTGAAACTGCCCCCAAGGCAGTCCTTGTCCTTGGCCACAGTGCTGCCTATTCTATATAGCTCAGACACCAGCCTCTCCAGACCCAGGCCTGATTGAGACCCCTAACAACCATCCCACTCCTCAGCAGTAACCCGAAACAGGCCCTTCTCACCCTCTGCTGTCTGTCACCCCCAGCCCTGCCAGCAGCTTCCTCGCTTAATGCCCTCCTTCCCTCTACACTCCAAGGCCAGCACTCCCCCCAGCAGCTCCTCAGGTCCCTAAGTTGTCCTGTGGCTGGCCAGCTGGGCATCACAGAGACCAGGGCCTGGTCATGCAGCCAGGGTGGAAGCAGAAGGATGAGAACTGGCACAGGTCAAGATGGAGTCCCCTGCTACTTGGCGGGAACTGTGCCCCTGCCGGGCAACACGTGCCAGGGCCAAGGCCCCAGGGAAGAATACTGAGGGCCTATGGCAAAGTGGAGTGGCTGGCCTGAATCACAGGGCCCTGTGAGCCACTTCAGATGACGTCCACATGCCCCAGGGGCACCTCTCACACACCATGGAGAAAGGAGGATTCACAGCCTCACCCATTTGGGGGGATGCTGGTGGACTTTGTTCATCCTGTGTGTAAATTTTTCCAGAGCCCTGGTGCCTGAGACTCCTCCTCCCTGCTACAGAGAGGGAATGCTGCCCTCACTGGAAGAGCAGGGCCCCTCATAACCAGCAGGTTCCAGGCCATTACCTTCCCTGCCTGTCCAAGTGGGACATCCAATAGCTCTAAATACCTCTGACTGGGTCACTCCCGCAAGGTGCTGGCCAAACACATGGAGTTCAGTTTCGGCAGATGACAATGGCACACACAGAAACACAAGAGCTGCCAGCCTGGGGCAAAAGCCAGGAATCTAGCTCAGGTCCCACCCTGGAACCCCAAGGGAGGCACTGGGCCTCTCTGAACCAGGATCCTTCTGCAGAAGTGGTCACCTCTGCTACTGTGGCTCCTCCAGAAAGATTCACTGACCTTGAGCCAAGTGACAGCTTGTCAGATAACCAAACCATACACTACCACTGTCCAAAGAGGGCTGGCTTCTGGCAGAGACAGGCTGCACTAAACCTACAGGATGGGCCGTACTCAGACAAGCACCAGGCCCAGTCCCACAGGCCAAGCCTCCCTTCCCTACCGCAGTATCCTCAAGCTAAAAAGGCGGACCAGAAAGAAAAGACCCCACTCCAAAAGAAGACACTAACAGAACAACCACACACACCTCACCGAGTCCAAGAGGACCAGAGCCACCCTGGTTACAGCTAAACAGGAGACTGCAGGTAGGGACGAGACCCCAGTGGAAGCTGGGCCACTGAGGCGAGCAGCCCAGGTGTGTTCCCTTCCCCAAACGTGGTAGTCGCTAGAGTCACAGCAGGTGCTCTGAGATGGGTGATCAAACCAGACAAAGAAGGGAAGGTGACTGGAAGCCAATGGCTAGGACAACATGGTGCCCAAGTAGGATGGTGAGTAGCCCAGCTGAGACCTGACTGCAGGACTGCAGGTGAGTCAGGACAGGGAATGACAAGGACAGAGGCCCTAGAGGCAAGGACAGAACATCTGCAGGTCCAAGCAGAAACGCACAGACCCTTCAACTGGACACAATGATGCATGCCTGTGGTCCCAGAACTCAGGAGGCCAAGGCATGAGGATCACAAGTTTGAGGCCAGCCCAGACTACAAAGAACAAAAATCCACAGGCCCTGGCCCATACTGCACGACAGAACCCAGCACTGTGCCAAGGGTCAACCCAGATATGAAAGCCAAACCTGAAAGAATTCCAGAACCTCAGGCCACAGCTGTCATCCTAAGCGACTACATTAAATTTGCACATTTACTGCCTGCTGCCTTGCCTGTAAACCTACCACTGGGTTTGGCACACCCCACTACCTCAAGATGCAGGTGGGGCCACAGACACCTAGGGGCCACCTACTGGTCAGGGTGGGCCTGGTCTATGCTCTTTGCCCGCGCAAATCCTCCTCCAGAAGCACCCCATGAGTTCAAGGATGAGTCAGACAGACACCTATGTTCCTGACTGCCAACCCCACAGCAGATGGCATTCCTTTACAGTCATTTACAGACAGGCACAGGCGCCCTGAGTGATGAAGGGGACTTAGGCGTCTGAGCCTCGGACAGGAAAAAAAGCTCAGCCCCCAGGATACAAATAGCCTCGCACCCCCTTGACGCCCCATTCGGGCCCCACTCACAACTTGATTCCGTGGGCTCACCTTCCTGACTACTCAGGGCACCCGGAAGAAAATCAATCTCCTCCGGCTTTCCTTCCTAGAAGGCACTTCCATCCTAACCAATCGCGAGGAAACTCATCTGGAGAAGGATCTGGCCGCGGGCCACGGGGCTGCCCAGAGTGTGCCCAGTCCCAGCAGGCCCGTCTGGCTGAAGCTCTGGGACCACGCCCGGAAATTCCCCTCTCCCAGGATGGCACGGGCGACGCGGGGCCGAGGCCTGGCGGGCCCCTGCCGCCTACCAGATAGACGGGCGGGGAAAGGTGCCCTTGGGGCGCGGGATCGGGCCGGTCCGGACCGCCGCTGAGCGGGGAAGGCCGGGCCCTGACACTAAACGGTTTGCACAAACGGACCAAAAGGCCTGCGACCTAAACGAGTCCCAGCTGTCCCCCGCACAGGGACAGCCCGGGCTGGGCGCCGTCGCCCCTGCGGGAGCCGGCACTACACCGGGACTGGAGCAGGAAAGGCCCGCACTGAGGCTGGCAGCCTGAGGTCCAGCGGGGCCAC